TTACAATCATTTCAAGTTATAAGAAGATATGAAATCTCGAAGTCATCGCAGGTGTAAGTCGACAAAGACCTGACCGCTGGGTTTTTGTCAAAATTACACGACTAAACGGCAGTTTATTCGAAATGAATGTTTTTTGTCTTGCGCATATAAATATGATAAAATTTTATTATTACATGTATTTGCAATAACTGTTCAATCAAAACATCATATGAAACTATAACGAACCGTTACTCTTTAACAAATATACACATGTTAAAAATTACACAGCTCTAGTTTAATTACTAATACACTGTTATGAAACATTTACAGCCAAATGTGTGCCCAAACTGAATTATTGTTGCTGTGTAAAACAGAGATTAGACCGGTAAAACACATGTATTTTTATGATTAATAGTTTGACAAAATTGTTTCTTTCAATATAAGTATTTGATCAAGTTATTATACGAATTGATAAGATTTTTATTTTAATTAATTATGAAATTATCTAGTTCTGAATCAAGACTCAAATGTCAGCCAATATTGTACAAAAGTATAGATTTACAGATGGCAGATATCTTTTTTCCACTGAAAACAAAAACTGTTTTACTTATAGACACTTTATACATGTATATGATTATTGAAATTAGCATATAATTACTGAATACTTAAAAAGCAGGATGCTGCAGTAAATTTTATACATAACGCAAATTTTTTCTTGTCAATAGACACACATGATTGCAAAACAATATTTAATAATTAATTATCAGGGAGTTTAAGATATATCTCGGGAAGAAACATACTGAAATTGGTACTGGGATACATTTTTACTCATTCGTGTGCTACAAACCCATATTATTATTATACATGGGGTCTATCTTTAATTTATCAACTTACAGACAACAAAGAACAAGAAGACAATTATATTTAATGTACAGAACAGAACATACTTAAAGAAAGAAACACCTGATAATAAGAATAACGACATGTGACAAAAGATGTGCCTTTAATTTTAAGTGATAGGAAACATATTTAAATAGTCAGATAACGCCCGTCTTTAAATTGAACTGTATAAAGTCCGTGATAAATTATAATGTCAGATATCTGCTTTTTAAAATGTTTACAAACAGTTAGTGTATAATGCTATATAAAAAATATGCGCTACAAATACTACTGTATTAATCTAATCAAAGGGCAGCATGCTCTGTGGTATTTTCTGATCTTTCCTGTATACGTTTATTTTTATATACTATTATTCATCTTAAGCAGCGACTGCGTTTAATAGTTTGTGATTGATACATATGGAATTTTGCATGCTTAGAGTTGCATCAAAAATCATTTTTCATTTTTTGTTACAGCCACACTTTATCATTGCATATCGTGGCAACTTCCTTAAAAAAAATGTTGCCTCGACAACCTTAGGCCTCTCACACCCTTAACGAGCGCGCTACCTCTGCACCACAGTGAGGTAATACGTATGTAGCGTGAATAAAAACAAAGATATTGTAATTCTAAAATTGAGAATTTTCATTTCGTATTTGTAATCCTTATTAATTTCGAGGTATTGTGTTCACGATAAACCTGTTGTTAAACATTGATGAAAATAATTTAGCGAAAATCTTCTCGCCAAAACAGTCCGACATGTATATATTCCATTACTCGACAGCCAGATTTATTTGTGTACTACGCTCTGGAGTATTCGGTAATCGACATAGCTAAAACTAGCATTTTCATTGATTAAGCTTTACGGAAATAGTCGAACATTTTTCATTGGGTAAAAAAGATATTCATTCGCGAAATTTGTGATTGTAACCTCATATTTCTATTGACTAATGTAAACTTTTAATGCACTGTAATTCGTTCAATGCCTACATTAAAAATTATTCTTTCTTTTAAATTGCTGGTTTTTAAGCAGTTTTGAGCGAGAACTACTTTGCGTTGTTAGGTCTGTGAGGAAATTTTGTGTTATACCGTGGATGTTAGCTATGTATTTGCGATCAGAAAATACAAAAAACAAAACAAAAACCACAAAACAAACTTACTCCTCCAAAATGCATGGATATGTGAGTTCAATTCCTTAATTTAACACCCAGGAACGGATTTATTTAAAGCAAATATTTATCAGGGCAACATTTACACTGGCGTTTTCCAACAAACAATTATCACGTTTTTGATTGACACGTTATGGGAGAGCAGAACATCCAGTGACCTTTTGGTCACACAGGTTTTGTGCCCCGGCTGTTTGTTCACAGGTCAGTGTATAACTTTTTTGTTAATGTCAAATAGTGCCTGTTTCTCTGTATTCTGAGAGTAGTGGCGACATAAACATATCCATTCACCATAAAACTTATTCAGACTACTCCCGAAAAAATACTAATGCAATTTTATCCAAACTTTTCAGGAATAATCAGTACCAACTCATGTGCATACCATCGGCATTAATTTTTCCTGTTCAATGATTTTGTCATTGTTTTTATTATTTAGATATATAACATAAAGTGTCAATTATTGGTCCTCTAAAGAAATTTCTAATTTTTTTTATATATATTGGGCTCTCCCGAGTGGTCACATGTGGGCCTCTCTGAAGTTTGTTTAAATCATGCCCTTTCGGCCTGGGTCAAACATGACTTTGCCAAAGGGGACACAACCTTTACATATTTTTCTGATAATTTAAAAAATAACAAAAAAAAAAAAAAAATCACAAGGCTTACAGCTTAGATGATTTGTATTGAGTATTGTCTCGAGAGTCACAATATGAATATAATTAGTGTCCAAGGACCAAGTTCACTTGTCCGGTAATAGCACAGCTTCCCATAATTAGTTTATTCATTTTTTTATTTAAATTAGTCGTATTCAGTAAGAATCATGTACAGATTTTGATAAATTTTTGTGATTGAAATATTTTACTGAAAGATGAGCAAAGTATATCTTTAAGTTTTTGTTTGTTTGTTTGTATCATTTTACGCCTTTTCCAAACAGTATTTCAGTCATATAGACGGGTAGTTTCCTAACCATCGCTGGAGAGTAATTCCCAAGATGTAACGATACTTAGTTGAGCAATTTAGGCCAGCATGGCCCTGTTGTTGATAACACCCTATAGAACTGACTGAAATTATTTTAATAAATATTAAACATATTCATATGAGTCAGATTTCTTTAGCTTATTGTTTTGGACAACAATATTTTATATTAGCTCATGTGAATATAAGCACTGGCAGGGAGATTCAGCTATGTTATGGGAGTTGGGGTGGGGAGACATACATGTTTACATCTATTTTGTTTCATTGAAGAACGTGATTCCAACCAGGGAAGAAAAGAGCAGATTATTGTTTGCAGGTCTTGAAGAGGTAAAGATCACATTTATCAAGTCCGCAGACTCAGAGCAGTTCAAACTAAAACTTGAAACGCCGCTTTTCGTGGAATGGCACGGAAGTGTCACATTGAAGGTTCCATGATAACCGCCGTATGAACACATTTGCGGATGTTTCTAAATTCAAAATTTTACTATTTCACGTTTAAATGTTGAATTCTGCTTAAGCCGGTGCTAGGGGGCGTGGACGGTTGCTTGCACTTGACAGTACCGTCCATGAACAGGCTCAATCAAACCGAGCCTGCAACATTTTCAATTGTGTCGTGTTGGGCTTTCTTTAGGGATTTTGTATTTATCTATTTTTTGAAGAGATATTCCCAAAACTTAAGTGAATATAAGCACTGGCTGTGGAGATTTAGCTATGTTATGGGAGTTGGGGTGGGGAGACATACATGTTTACATCTATTTTGTTTCATTGAAGAACGTGATTCCAACCAGGGAAGAAAAGAGCAGATTATTGTTTGCAGGTCTTGAAGGTCTTGTTGGGCTTTCTTTAGGGATTCTGTACTTATCTATTATTTGAAGAGGAAAAGATCACATTTATCAAGTCCGCAGACCCAGAGCAGTTCAAACTAAAACTTGAAGAGATATTCCCAAAACTTAAGTCATGTGGTCGGTTTGAGTTGATAAGATCAGCTGTCTGTCAAAGGTTACAGCTAGAAACTTTACAAATACCTAAATGGGGATACTCATGTAGCTACCTTTCTAATGAGAATGGGCTAGGACAGGCAATTTGCTATATCCGGTCCGTTCAGAGAGATATTGACATGGACAATTTGCCCGATATAGTATTTTTTTTCTTTCATTGTTATATACCATTTTCTAAATATTAGGTTTTTCAGATGTATTTGAGTTTTTATCTGATTATACTTTTGACTGAATATCAAAACAAAATAAGGATTATGCTTTAATTACCTTAAAAGAGATGTACAAAGAGATGTACCAGTCATATACCAAAGTTTATGAACTTCATTGTTCAGTGTATACCCTTTGCCTAGGTGCAGATGAATTAAAAGGTTGAGACTGGTTTGAAAACATAATATTTGAGCTATTACAGGAAAATATTGATTTCAGTAATCATTTGTGAATCAGTTGTCTTTATCTTATACATTCACTTAAAAAGAATAACATGTACTGTTGTTTTTATTTTGGCAGGACAATTCTGGAGATGTGGAAGAAAAATGTCTTCATTGTGGAAGTTTCATACCCCTGAGAGGACTATGGGATCATGTTTCTGGTTGTCCAAGCAACATAAATTCTGCTACACCAAGAATGGTGCAGTTGCCAATGAGTCAGTTCACAAAATATGAAAAACAAGATCAACAAGGAAAGGCGGCGTTCATTAATGTCTTCTGTTTTAACAGAAAACAATTCTTAAGTATAATTGGAGCTTGTTGTAAGATTGTATAATTTTTTGTCATATAGGCTCAAATTTCCTTAAAAGAATTATTGTTTGAAGTACATGAAAATCTATAACCAGCAATGGTTGGGATTTTCATCACTAATATGACATTGTTCTAGTTTTACAAACATGGCTCACTTCATTTCCAGATTTTTAAGCAAGAAAATTCATAATTTTAAAGAATTTCACTCAAAATGAAATGAAAATGTTTTTGATGTCAAGCCTCCTTTTTCCTGTAAAAGTTATTTACCGTTTGTCCCACTTTCTTATCCAATCAAAAGCTCAAATTTATTTGAAATATATTGCATACACCATACCGGGACTGGTGTATGTGAAAAATAAGTTGACTTATTTTTACAGGTATTGACGTGGTATCTTGCAAATACGAAGTTCTGGATGTGGGCGGAGTTTTAAATTGGGCAATGAATGTATCATGCGAATAAAGAAAACAAATAAGAATGCGATTTCATACTGTTATAATTATTTATAAATCCAAGCATTTATCAAATGCATAAAAATTACTGAAACTGAACTTAAACACCTATACCGTCATAGTAACAATTCGCCATAGTAACAATTCGGACATTGGAATTGTGGCTGATCATTGAAAATAAAACACATGGAGTGATTCAATTACAGAAATATCAAAGTTCGTAACTAACAAATATCTTTAAAATCATACAAACTATCCATTTTTTTTTATAATTCCATGACAAACTTTTTGCCACATTTAGTTAAAATCTCAACTTTTTTAACAGTTGTCGGAACACGAATTGTTAATACGTTGTCGTCTGAAATTGGTAATTCTGATTGTTTATTTAGCAAATTCATTTCATCCTCACACTTTTCACGGGAGATTTTAACAGATTTTACTTCAGTTTCATTGTCACTTTTAACAGGTCCTGCTACAACTGGTTCTAGATCGGCACAAACTTTCGATTGCAATGAAATTTGTTCACGCTCGTATCTTTGTACGGCGTCGGAGCTATGTTTGGAACGGTTTTTTTACAGTTTTGTCCGAGTATCTTTTATTAAAAAGCTTTGTGCATAGAGTCACTCGACCGGAATGATTACTTATATTTCTATTATCCAAAGGAATGCCTGCTTGAATAAACATATTTTTCAAATATCCCTTTAAATCCTTTTGTGGTATTGTTCCAGAACTGAAATTCAAACCATCCAATGGTTTGCGGTAAAAGTTTCCACGCCTTGGAATCAAATTCAAATAACTTTCATATATTTTATAAATACTGTAACTATTCTCTTTCTCCTGGTCATAATGAATTATTGGTTGCATTAAGCTGGCTGCTTTTTTGGACTGCTTTAAACCCCCTTGAGTGTTTTTTCTTATCCTGGGCAGGAATTTAACGAATCTCCGTTTGATTGCAGAATCGTACCCAGTAATAAACTGTTCCGCTTGTAACCCAATCTGTTCATCGCCGCCCCTCAGACCGAACACTTTCCCGTTATAAAAAAATACTGCGTTGCTTAATCCTTTTGCATTGTCTACTGAAAACACACCGGAACCCCAAAGGCAAGCTTCATCTTCTTCCGTAACTGCGTCTGCACTTTTGACTTCGATCCCTATGCCCTCGTTAGTCAACTCGCGCATGCGTGAATCCAATGTCCTGCGAAATTCAGTAAAAACAGGATCGTCTGTTTTAAAAAAGTTCACGTGCATGGATTTTTCATTTCGAAGATACCGTTGTAGTCCTGCAGCAATGTTTTGTAAGGTTGTTGGAGGATAAAATTCACCATTTTTCCTTTTAATTTCACAGATGAATCGTTGTAACCAAAAATCCATTTCTGCATAGGAACGGAACTGTTCTATTTCAACGGGAATAGGATAACCAGGTTCTTGCTTAGTCTCCGGTTGTAGGTTGCGGTTTTCAGCCCACTCCCTCCAGACGTGCACTGCCCAGTTGTTGTTTTTAGTCGTATTATAGGGCACTGTATTTCTCTGTTTCTTCTTGATGTCATCAGACGACAAAGGCTTTTCGAATCGGCCTGCAAATAGAAAAGAAATCACTTTCAAATATTATATATTTTCAAAGTTTATTCAATAATTACAACAGCATTTAAGACAGTTTTTTAATTGTTATATTTTAATATTTTACCGTCATTGACTTTGAGGTTTGGTGCTGGTGGGGCGTAGAAAAGCTACGCGCCTGGTCAATTTGTTACCGCAAATTTTACCATCAATTTGTATTTTCATTCAAATAATGATAAGTTAGATATTGCGAGAATTCGAGAATATTTTTAAAAAATATTTACCCGAGATATTGCCTCTGCTCGTGTCTGAACAATTCTCTTTGTTTTCAGTAGCATATAAATCCTGCGTATTGATAGTAAGCAACTGTGACACTGTGACATCAGCATTTTCCACAGGAAACGGTTCAAAAATGTAATTTCTGTAAAAGTCATCATCTATATTCATTATTTCAAAGACAACCTGATCGCTGGATTGCTCCATGAGGACTAATGATGTCCAGACACTGAACGCAAATACATATAAAACGCAAGACTTTGATTGACAGCTCACAACACTCCGACCAGGTGTTGGCCTGTCAATCTATACTAGTAAGGGCGGGATTTGCATTACATGACACTGTGTACGTGACTTATTCCAGGAAAGTGGGTTCAAACGGTAAGCCAGTTATAGTTCATATTTTAAAAAATATAGAACTTATTGCTGCGCTCCGCTACGCTACGCTTGCAATAAATTCCATATTTTCTAAAATCTGAACTATAACTATTACTTAACTTAATGTAACTAAATAACATTTTAGAGTTCAAATACTGAACCTGAGGGTAGTGGGCAGAGCAGCACCTTGCCTGAGAACGTTATGTGTCTCTTGAGTTCAGTTATTATTCAGTTATAGTTATGCTTGCATACTCACAGACTATAAAATATGATGAACAAGATCGACAAGGAAAGGCAGCGTTCAATGAACGCAGCCCCCACCCGACCCAGCAACAAGCTTTAAAGACTATAAAGTTGCATACTTTGTTAAGTGGTGTACATGTAAACATATCTTTTTTTGTCCAATAAGTATCAATTTGACCACTTTTCATTATTTTGAAAAGATTAGTTTCATTTAAATATATAACCGGAAATAAAAGGAGGAAAGATTAATTTGTCTAATTTTTCACCAGAAGGCATACATACATAAAAAACAACTTAACATGGAAACATGCAACTGACACTGTACATATGTGAGAAAAAAAAGGAACTAAAGCTTGTTTCTATGCATAGTATTTTTGCATATTGGTAAGAGAAAGAAGGATTTCTTACCAATATACAAGAAGAACATTGTATGAGAAGGCCTTTGTTTTACCAGTTTTAGATTTCCTTTATATTTGCAGTTTACATGTTGTTATTATTCTTAACAAACGATGCTTTATTTGAGCAATCATGATCTTATGGGGTCTGTAACATAAATAACATTACCAATTTTTCTGGCTGATAGTCAAGGCCCATTTTGTAAATTGTTTTTGAAGGCCCATTTTGTAAATTGTTTTTGAAAAGTTGATTTCAAATGATAATATGAATTCTAATTCTTGTTGACCTTCTGCCAGTAGATAGAGTGTGTTAAACGTTCCAAATAAATGATAGTGATGGTAAATTGTGGATGCCCCTTGGAGCATGGTTAAAATAACAGACAAGCTATTGGGGATATTTTCCCACATTTTACTAGCCAAACCAGCAGATTATAAGTTGTAAACAAGATCAATTGATTTGTCTAACTTCTCTTAATCACATGACTTAAACAGGATTCATAACCTCTGATCCCCTTTCAAAATTCCATTTTATTTAGTTCCGCCCATTGTTTTCTCGTTTAGGGCACACGCATTTTTTTACTTGGGGCCATATGCCGCTTTTCATGGAATTGCACTTACGTGTCAATTGAAGCTTCTATGATAACCGCCATATGAACACATCTGCGGATGTTTCAAACCTGTACCAGTTGATTAAAAGTGTAGCTTTTGACATAGGAAGTCAGTGACGACTCTGGGACCCTATTGACGAGTTACCGTTACCACAAATTCTAAACTTTTCTTAATTTCTTCTTCTAAATAAACTAATAACAGTAACTATAATATTAAATGTAAAGGCACTTTATAGCCAAATTTCTTTGTCGTTAGATGTCTATATTATCAAATTTGACAATTCCAACGTTAAGTCTGAATTTATTCCTGGATGCATTGGTGATACATATCCTATGACATCAACACCTAAAATATGATAAACAAGATCAACAAGTTTAGGCGGCATTCAATGAACGCAACCCCCATCCGAACCCAGCAACAAGAGCCAGTGGCAAGGAGCCCGGAGCCCAGGAGGACCCCAAACAAAAACAGGACAGGGCACAAGGCAGAGCATGGGCAGCCTAACCACTAAAATCATAAATAATTAGTAACTGTAAGAAACTTAAAGAAAACAAATAAATGATTTAATAATAGGCCCATAAAATCAAAGGGCACAGGGGAAGGGGAAAGGAGACCAGGGGAAGGCGGGGGGGGGGGTTAATTAAGTAAATAAAAACTAGGGGAAAGAAGAAGATACTTACCTAAAAGGTTGCCAATAATAGAGAAAAACAGAATCCCTAAAGAAAGTCCAACACAACAAAATAGAAAATGTTGCAGGCTCGGTTTGATTGAGCCTATTCATGGATGGTACTGGAAAAAGCAAGTATCGTCCACGCCCCCTAGCACCGGCTTAAGCAGAATTCAACATTTAACATGAAAATGGGGAAATTTTTATTATAGAAACATCCGCAGATGCTTTCATACGACGTTAAGTGGCAATGAAGACGTAGCATTTGAAGGTAACAGTGTGCTCTTTACATGCTCTAGTCCTACAGACAACCACGGTTGCATGTTTGATGACATCATCTTTGCAGTAGGTGAAATATGATAAACAAGATCAACAAAGAAAGACGGCGTTCAATGAACGCAACACCCACACGACCCAGCAGCAAGAACCAACGACAAGGAGCCCAGGCGTACACCAAACAAAAACAGGACAGGGCACAAGACAGAAATCACTAAAATGATAAATAATTTGTAACCGACAAGGAACCCAAAGAATATGATATGATAAACAAGATCAACAAGGAAATATGATAGACAAGATCGACAAGGAAAGGCGGCGTTCAATGAACGCAACAAATAAATGATTGAATAATAGGAAATAATCTGTAACTGATACGGAACTCGAAGAAAACAAATAAATGATTGAATAATAGGCCCATAAATCAAAGGGTACAGGGGAAGGAACATGAAACCCAGGGAAGGGGGGGATAAAATTAAAGACGGGTCACCGACACTTTTGATAGTGTAGAGCCTAAAATAGATTTATCTTGAGATAGCTGATGATAATGGTACAGAATGCCCCCTTGAACTGGCTTTGGCAGCTATGGAGATGTCACAGCAAAGAAAAAGAGGCGTTACCATGAATGCCTTCTGGGTGTCCTGCTTGGGTGTGTCCGGGGGCGGCGTCCTGTGAACGTTGCCTATGCCTTGTTGATCTTTGTTCTTGTTATTTTCAACTTAAATATTGACTTACCAGATGACAAAACCTATCTAACGTAGAATGTCTTGAACCCTGTCCTGTTTTTCTTTGGGTCCTCCTGGGCTCCTTGCTGCTGGCGCTTGTTGCTGGGTCGGGTGGGGGCTGCGTTCATTGAACGCCGCCTTTCCTTGTTGATCTTGTTTATCATATTTTTTGAAGGAAAATGTTATTGCTCTCGTACCAATTGAACAAGAAAATGAAATACTTAACTAACAAAGAAGAAAATAAAAATATAATTTTCAAATAAATTAAAAAATTTCAAACTGAAAATATATAATCATGGGCGTAGAGAAAATAAGAATCCCCAAAGAAAGTCCAAAACGACAAAATTGTAAATGTTGCAGGCTCGGTTTGATTGAGCCTGTTCATGGACGGTACTGGAAAGTGCAAACTGCCGTCCACGCCCCCTAGCACTGGCTTAAGCAGAATTCAACATTTAAACATGAAATAGTAAAATTTTGAATTTAGAAACATCCGCAGATGTGTTCATACGGCGGTTATCATGGAACCTTCAATGTGACACTTCCGTGCCATTCCATGAAAAGCGGCGTGTGGTCCCCAAGTAATAAAAAGCGTGTGCCCTAAACGAGAAAACAATGGGCGGAACTAATTAAAATGGAATTTTGAAAGGGGATCAGAGGCTATGAAGCCTGCGTATCACAGATAAGACGTCAAAAGACTAATTTAAAAAGCAGGCAACATATCCTAAGGGTGATTCAACATTATTCAAGTAGGAATATTGGAACCACCCAACTAGAAAATGCCGAAAAGTTGAAACTAAAAATACCACAAGCACAACAATAATGTCGTGCTGAACGATCTTCAAGGATCGAAAATATAACATCATTGATTAAATGTACGGGGAGACTTTTTACATCCGCCACACGGCACAAATAACACGGATGTGATCATAAAATAGATAAATACAGAATCCCTAAAGAAAGCCCAACACGGCAAAATTGCAAATGTTGAAGGCTCGGTTTGATTGAGCCTGTTCATGGACGGTACTGGAAAGTGCAAACTGCCGTCCACGCCCCCTAGCACCGGCTTAAGCAGAATTCAACATTTAAACCTGAAATGTAAAAAAAAAATGAATTTAAAAACATCCGCAGATGTGTTCATACGGCGGTTATCACGGAACCTTCAATGTGACACTTCCGTGCCATTCCATGAAAAGCGGCGTGTGGTCCCCAAGTAATAGAAAGCGTGTGCCCTAAACGAGTAAATATGATAAACAAGATCAACAAGGAAAGGCGGCGTTTAATGAACGCAACCCCCATACGACCCAGCAACAAGAACCAGTGAAAACAATAGGCGGAACTAAATAGAATGGAATTTTGAAAGGGGATCGGAAGTTATGAAATATGATAAACAAGATCAACAAGGAAAGGCCGCGTTCAATGAACGCCTGCATATCACAGATAAGACGTCAAAGAGCAGGCAACATATCCTAAGGGTGATTCAACAATATTCAAGTAGGAATATTGGAACCACCCAACTAGAAAATGCCGAAAAGTTAAAACTAAAAATACCACAAGCTGAACGATCTTTAAGGATAGACCACGCGATAGACTTCTAAAATCTAATCACAAATTATTTAGGTGTGGTGATTTTCTTGTTGCTCTGTCTTCCTTTAAGACATCGAGTACTTTTGTTATGGTCATTTGGTTTACTTTTATATGTTTCTACATGATCATTTTGGTGTTTTACTTATTTAACCTTTTGTAACCATAGCAACTGTTAGAATTTCACATGGCGGGGATTCATTTTATTTACACCGTCTTGTTTATAGGAACATGGCGGGGCTAAGAGCGAGGTTTGGTGCACCATTAACCGGTTTAAACTGCCCAGCAGTATTTATGCTGCTGACCGTTCCAAGGCGGAGCCCCTCTATGTTCCTCAGATATATGTCTATGTCGTTTTATACTGTTTTGGTGACGCTTTTGTGTCTCTTTTTGTTTCTCGTCTACGGTAAGTATCTTCCCCTTTGCCCCTAGTTTTTATTTATCCACCCCCCTTCCCCGGGTCTCATGTCCCCTTTCCCTGTGCCTTTTGACTTTATGGACCTAATATTCATCATTTATTTGTTTTATTTTAGTTCCTTATCAGTTACTAATTATTTATTCTCATGTAGTGATTTGCCTGACCGTGCTCTGCCTTATGCTCTGTCCTAAT